TTCCTTGCCAGTAAATAAATTAGGACAGTCTTCCCCAGTTGGTGACTACCAGATACATTGAAAGTAAACCTTAAATTGTAACAAACTGAATTAGGATTTTCCCTGAAGGATGGTTGTGAATATGACCATTAAGATGAGTAACCAATCTGATTCCTACTAAAGCTATAAAATAAATCTTGCTCTGGAGGAATGCTCTCCTTTTGCCATTGAACAGAATGGCAGCTTGCACCTTATTTCTTATCTATAAAAGACACCATAAAGCACGGATGAGAAATACCTGGGTTGGATTCAGCAAAACAGGAGACAGCAGAGCGTTATCCACCAGTAGGAAATTTGGGGCCAGTGAACTAAAATCTATGGGCTCAATGGGGAAGGAACTTTGCCAATTTCTGAGCTTCGTGGTTTCTGAGCGGGAGGCTAGAAAGAAAGCAAAGGGGGAATTGCTGAAACAAATGAGCAAAATGACCTCCCCCCCCCCCCACTGCTTCCCTGCAGGAACGCTATGAATGGACATTTTTTTCTCCATGTCTGTAAACACTTGGGGAATCTGACTGAATCCTTTTAAAGCTTTCTTTGTATAAGGCAGGGGTAGGCAACCTTGGCTCTTTTATGACTCGTGGACTTCAACTCCCAGAATTCCTGAGCCAGCCATGCTCAGGAATTCTGGGAGTTGAAGTCCACGAGTCATAAAAGAGCCAAGGTTGCCTACCCCTGGTATAAGGAAAAACAAAATTAGTGAACTTATGTGCATTAAGTAGGTACAGGCAGGCCTCAGGTTTATGGGATCTACTTAATTTTTTTATTTGAATACCAAGATAGTACAAAACTGTGGCTTAATAGATGGGAATAATTAAGTATTAAATCTTCTAAATCAGCAGCACCTGGGGTGAGCATCGTGCCCAGTTGTGTCTATGACGTCAAAGTTATGCAAATGGGATGGGGTTTCAATCAGAATAGAGCTGGAAGGGACCTTGGAGGTCTTCTAGTCCAACCCCCTGCTCAAGCAGGAGAATCTATACCAGGGGTCTTCAAACCTGGCCCTTTTATGACTTGTGGATTTCAACTCCCAGAATTCCTCAGCCAGGCATGCTGACTGAGGAATTCTGGGAGTTGAAGTCCACAAGTCATAAAAGCGCCAAGTTTGAAGACGGCTGAGCTATACTATTTCAGACAGGATGCTGTCCAGTCTCTTCTTAAAAACCTCCAGTGATGAAGCACCTGCAACTTCTGGTGGCAAGCTGTTCCAATGGTTAATTTTTTCTCACTGTTAGGAAATTTCTCCTTAATTCCAGGTTGCTTCTCTTCTTGATTAGTTTCCATCCATTGTTTCTTGTTCTTGCCTTCTGGTGCTTTGGAAAATAAGTTGACTCCTCATCTTTGGGGCAGCCCCCCAAATACTGGAATACTGCTATCATGTCTTTTCTCTAGACAAGCCAAAGCCAATTCCTGAAATAGTTCATATTTCAAAATTTGCACAGCTACACCATATAGTGTATCTGTCTTCTTATAGATTTTGACAAACATGCATATGTATGATTCTGCTCTTCTAAATCAGATTCCAGAATAAGCTAGATATATAAGTTCAAACATATATCTGAATTACTAAACTTAAGGATTTACAATTAGTTTGGTCTAGGAGCATTTTAGCCTCAGCGTGTCAATGATCAGGAGTTAAAAGTGGAATTGTAACAACTAGCAACAGATTACTTAAATTACTTTCTGTTCATTCCTTCTTTAGGAGGAATGCTCAAAACCAGAAGCCGCCCTCTGGAAGCTGTTTCTAAATCTAGGGCAGAGTTTCTTAAACTGGGAGTGATGCAGCAATTTGCAAATGCTTATTTGAGAGTCCAGGATACAGTTTGGGACAGCCACAGCTGGGAAGCTTCTATAAACAACAGAGTCTGGAGGGCGTTTTTGTGAGACTAATGAGATTCTTCGAGGCCAAGAAATGAAGTAATTGGATGAAACAGTTTAAGAACCACTGATTGAGGGGAATGCTAGAAGACAGAACTCCCTGTGCGACTGTCTTGCACCTGCTAAATAAATTGCCTGCTCTCCGCTGCATTGACAGGGAGAGGAGAAAAATTATCATCTTCTACTTTGCATCAAAGCAAACTATCTTGAATCATCTCTGGTTGGAGCTGAAGGCATGTGCTATGGCCAGAAGGCCAGATCTTAGTAGATTTTGAACTAGATGTGTGACTGTTGCCAGTTCTAAATTCAGCCTGCAAGCAACAACTGTTCTCCTGAAAAATGTAATGTGAAGAAGGAACACCAAAAAGATGTTGAGACTCTAGAAAGAGTACAGAGAAGAGCAATAAAGATGATTAGGACTCTAGAAGACCTCAAAGGTCCCTTCAAACTCTATTATTGTTATTGTTAAACTGAGAAGCGCAAGGAAGGAGCCATCAACTACTTATGCAGACACACCTTCCTTTAAGTACTGGGAGTTGGATTTCATAATTGTATACTTTTGTAAGAAAACAAAATACAAATTAAGCATTTTATTTAATTTTAATTAGTTAAGTGAATCTGGCTTCTCCCATTGACTTTGCTTGTTGGAAGCAAGCTGGGAGGGTTGCAAATGGTGACCACGTGACCCTGCCCAGGATTATGACAACCAAGGCAGCATTTTGGAGAGAATAGCAAAACAAGGATTTCATTACTGCTCCTCTTATCTCTCCAAGCTCCACTGCAATTGCGATGTCCGATGATGATCTGAAGCAAGGATTATACTGCCTCCTCTGTTGCCTCCTTTTTTTTGGTGGGGCTGATGGCACGATGGGGGAGCTGTCAACATCCTTTACTCTCTTCTGTGTTTTGGGCAATAGAAAACAGCACAGTAAGATTGTATGCAGATAGTCACTAACTTAATGACCACAAGCGAGCCCAATATTTCCATTGCTAAACAAAGCAGTTGTGAGTTGTGCCTCATTTTACGACATTTTTGCCACCGTTGTTAAGTGAATCACTACAGTTGTTAACTGATTCATGCAGTCATTAAGCGAATCTGGCTTCCCCCATTGACATTGCTTGTCAGAATCCAGCTGGGAAGATTTCAAATGGTGATCACATGACTCTGGGACATTGCAACTGTCTTAAATGCCTGCCAGTTGCCAAGAGCCCAAATTTTGATTGCTTGACCATGGGGATACTGCAACAGGTGTAACTGGGAAAGCCGGTCATGGGTCACGTTTTTCAGTGCTGTTGTAACTTCAAACAGTCACTAAATGAATGGTTGTAAGTCGAGGACTATCCGTATTGACACCAAGAATAAACTAAGCTCAGCATTATAGGTACAGAGGTTAAAAAAATGGAATTGCCTGGCCATTCCAGTAGTATTGCAAATCACTGGTAAAAAAAATTCTATTTCAAGAAATAGCCTCATGCATGGACTTTACAGATACAGCTATAATTGGAAAAGGACATTAGACATTTGACAATTTTGTTTTTTTACTAGTTCCTTCTTATCAGCAGCTTGCAAATTAAGATCCTGTTTGGAGAAAGCTTTCTCTATATATCTCATATTCATCCAATCTCAAACAAGTGTCTAAACCAACAATAAAGAAAAAAAATCTGTTTTTTCATTTTGTTTTTTTATGTTGGTTTTATCTCTGTGTATTTCTTTTCCACTTTTTGCATTTCTTTCTATCAAACGTTTAAGATAAATGTTTAAAATAACCCTTAAAACAAAAAAAATGGAAGGAAAATAATCAAGACAGTGTTTGAAATTCCATCTCATAAAAAAGAAAAGGTTTTAGTAGTTTCAAACTAGTTCCTCTTCAGTTTATTTTAGGAGGCAGGGTAGCCTCCTTACTCAACTACATGGCCTGCTAAGCACAGGGATTGTTGCTTAAGATGGTTCGAAAACGGCTGGAGGAGAATGTAGTTCTGTATATTCTCAGCCTATGTATTTTGTGCCCAGTTTTGGCACTGTCCAACTAATACAAATAGTGCTTTCATCATGTGTCAGTTCTGCATAAAAATATGATACCTGAAGCTCCTTTTTTAGGCGTAACCTTCAGCCTTCATATTTCAGCAAAAAGATCTGTGCCTATAGGATTTAAATGTCAGGAAAATACTGCAAAGCTAAATATGCAAGATCTAAGTAAACAAACATGATGAACCTGCTATTTCAACTAAAATTGGTTTGGGATGTATTGCTATCAACTCCTCTTTGAAACCCTCAGCACTAAACCTTGCATGTGTGGAGCTGTTTCCATCAAGTTCTTTCCACAATTGACAACAATGAGCCAGGGAAAGAGGGGTTAATATGTTCCTCCCCATTTCCCCAAACTGTTTAGATCAGGGGTGTCAAACTTGCAACATCAGGACCTATCGTGGCTTTTTTGCCATTGCCGGGAATGGGGTGGGTGCAGTTTTGCTATGATGCGTCTGGCCCGCGGGCCGGCAGTTTGACACCCCTGGTTTAAATCATTGTGATCAAACTGCTGGGAACTTTTCAAGCTACCTTTACAAGATATGTTACTTTGTGTGTATGCTAACCTCTTTGTGCAATAAGGAAGGAGATGCTTCAAATGGGCCAATGCTGGTGTTGAAAGTTTCATCAGCCCATGGGGGAGGGGGGAATTGAGACATTTCCTGATATTGTTACAGTGCAATTTGTAAACTTCCGGGTGAGAAGAGAAACAGAGTAATCTGGAAAGAGACCTTCAATCCATAAGACTATATATCATCACGGCTGCTTCTGGCAAAATTGCATGCTAGTAGAATTGGATGGGACTTTATGAATAAATATTAGGAAGAGTGTTGAAGGAGATATGAAGCTAGAACCGGAAAGAATAAAAGAATATAGATAAATCTTCTGATTTGGGTATAAGTCTTCAATCAGGATCATTCTGACTTCCAGGCAAAAGCATTGTTTTTCATTGTTCTAGCTATGATCTATTTATTATTATTATTATTTTTTCTATCCAGATAATCAGCTGGGTTTAGGAACTTGCAAGAATTTTTGTCTGTCAAGAAGTTGTGAAGTTGCCATGTCAGAAACAGGAGTCCTTCTGCAGAGATTCCTCCAGGGACATCCCACAGTATTTGGGGTAAGCACTAGGCATGGGACTTTTAGAAGTTCAAGGACACACAAGTTCTTCCTTATCAGTATTGTATGTTCTTGTCCAAATTTGCTGGGTGCAGCTAATGCAAAGCAGTGTCCTTGGTGAATGGCCTTAGTAGACTATTTCCTTTACCTGCCATTGAGCATCCCACTCCCCATCCACCTTCTTGTATAAGTTGTCATCCTTCTCCATGTTTTCTCGATACTTGGAAAATTTAAAAAAAAAAATATTTTGCTTTGCAGGCACTCCTGTTGATGATTGGGCTCTTCCAATCAGCCTTTGGAGTCATCTTATTCCTGTCCCCTTGTGCTTATAGGGATGAGCTGGGCACGCATTTCAGTTCAGCTGCAGTGGTGAGTCACCAGCATCTGCTTCTCCTGCTCTTTATACTGCCTCTGAATCAGCAACAATGCTGTAATTCTCCATGACCTTACCTTAACAATTTTATCTTTCAAACCCCACAAAGCTGCCAAAACAGCCAGTTTGGTGTAGTGGTTAAGACTCTAGGACTAAAATCCAGGAGACTTGAGAGTTCACAAAACCAGCTGGGTGACCTTGGGCCAGTCTCTCTCTCTCTCTCTCTCTCTCTCTCTCTCTCTCTCTCTCTCTCTCTCTCTCTCACACACACACACACACACACACACACACACACAGAGCCCTAGGAAGCAAGCAATGGCAAACCATTTCTGAAAAACCTTGCCAGAAAAACTGCAGGGATTTGTTCAAGCAGTTAGCAGGAGTCAAACACTGACTCAACGGCATGCACACATGTGCATACACACACACACACACACACACAGAGGCAAAACCAAGATAGACACAGATTTCAGTGAAGGCTCTTTAATGCAACAACCTCGGTTATGATGACTTTAAGGTAGCATCTTTTTCTAGGGTTTTCCTCACCTTTCCCAGCAGCTAGACTGAAGTGCTGTTTCCAAACTAAAGTTTTGACTGCTTCCCGTTTGGTTTCCCTACAATCTTTCATGCTATCTGTGCATCATGTAAAACAGGGGTCTCCAACCTCCCGGGCCTGGGAACGATGCACAAAGCTTCATTTGCGCATGCGTTGGATTTAGGTTGTGCACGGAACCATCTCACCACCACCACCACCAAAACCGGCAAAGCCACCGCAGCCACTGCCATCCGTCCACAGAACCAAAAAGGTTGGGGACCCCTGATGTAAAACACAGGCACCACATTTCAGTTTATGAGAGTAGAGGCAGACAGCTGGTGTCTTGCAGTCCAAACAGGAGGGGTCTCAATTCATTCTTCTCCACCATAAGATTTTCAAGGCAAAAGGCTCCACTTTCAATCCTGCTGCCCCAAGGAAACAGATCAGGTAGCAGATGATGAGGAAAGACTCCTGAGACTTTGGCGAGCAAGCGGAGGGGATAACGGTTGAGATAGTTGTCCATCAATACTATATAGATGTATCTTTTGTTTCTTCAAATCTCACCTCATTTAATTACTATTAGCAATGTTATATTTTGGGGTGTACGTCACTATATCTTCTAGCTGTTATACTTAACCAATAAAATATGTAAATGTGAACCACAACTAGGATTAATAATGTTATCTACCACTCTTCCCCGTCAAGGAGCATGGCGTAGTTTGCATATAAATGCAATATAAATAAAGCCAGTAACTAATTGTAACAGTGAAATGTCAGGCTGTTCAGGAATGAAGAACAGCTGTCTGGTTTTATGTCCTCATCCCTGAACTGCCAAAAGCTTGACGCTTTTCAACTGCCTACCTCCATGTGGGAGGGGACTCCAACTCCCAGGGTGCTGTTTTTTCTTTCTAAATCCTTGGATTTACTTTCCAAACAGTGTGTCACTGTTCTTCCTGCCAGGAGCCTGAACATTCTGAGACCATGACAAGAACCAGCCAGCTCAGCCTTCCTTCCAGCTCACCAACAGGGTGACAACTGCAAAAATTTGCTTCCATGTCTCATGTTCTGGTAAAAAAAACCTCAAAATGGCAACTTGCCAGGGCAGACCTTTGATTCAGTGTTGTAACACCCCCCCCCCTTGACTTTGTTTACCACATTCTGCAGATACCCTGGTTCGCCAGTACTATGCTCAGACCCTTGTCCCTACTTGAGGTTTCTCTTATTTCTTTCAGGATTAATTTTTTTTAAAAAAAGTGAACATACCCAGGAATTGGGAGGAGTGGTAAGAAGACAATTCTTGCCCATGTGTCTTGCCATCCCCCAAACTCCAGTATTCCACTTCATCTGCATTTTTTTTTCCTTCTTTGTAAGTCCTAGAAAGTGTTGGGAAATTGTCACCCGGACTGTCCAGCCATATAAATGTGTGGTAAGATTTTATTATTATTATTTTGTTCAATCATCTCTGATTCTCAAAGACCAGCTGGACAAGTTCCCCCAGTTTTCTTGGTGACTGTTTTTTTTCAGAAGTTGTTTGCCATTGCCTCCTTCTTAAGAGCTGAGAGTGAGTGACCCAAAGTCAACCAGTTTATCTTCATACCCTAGGTGGGACTAGAACTCACAATCTCTCAGGTTCTAGCCCAGGGGTTCCCAACCAGGGGTGCGAGATGATATTCCAGGGGGTGCAAAAACTTGGGTTTTCAAAATTATAGTGTACATGCATAATTCGTTGCCATTATTTTGAACTTTTGTAAGGGGTGCGAGAATATATCAAAAGCGTTCTAGGGGTACGGGGTATAGAAAAGGTTGGGAACCATTGTTCTAGTCTGATGCCTTAATCATTATACCAAACTGGCTCTCATAGTAAGAAGATACTGGTAGATGTTTTCATTTAGATCTTTGAAGTGAGGCAGCAACTTGTCAGCTTTTCTGGAGTCAGTGTGGGATTTTGCATAGGGATCTTGAATCGATCACATTATTATTCTTTTCATTCTTTGTCTCCAGCTGATTCTGGCAGGCATACTCACCCTTGCTGCAGACAAAGCCAAAAGCCTGAACTTGGTAAGTATGTGAGGAGTAAGTATGTGAGGAGAAAGCAAGAAAGGCCAACACAAGTTGATCAAAGCTTATTGTCCTTGTTCATTGAAGGTTATAGGGCATGGGTCTTCAAACTTGGCCCTTTTATGACTTGTGGACTTCAACTCCCAGAATTCCTCAGCCAGCGTGCCTGGATGAGGAATTCTGGGAGTTGAAGTCTACAAGTCATAAAAGGGCCAAGTTTGAAGACCCGTTATAGGGTAATCAGCCATTATTTTCCAGTAGTCCTTCAAGATATTTCAAGTTATCTTATCTCTGCTCTTACTGTATCTCAGTAATTTCATTAAAGGAGAAAAAAAGAGAAGAGCAGTACAATGTCTTTCGACTGGACTAGGAACCCATCATCTAAAAATAAGTCCCCTTTGTTCCTCGTTAGAGAGTGGGGACTTCCAGATACATTGACTGTTCTCATACTGAAATGGTTCCACCTCAGATGTGATTCATACTTTCCTCTCCTGCCACTTTGTCCATTTCTTTGGATGGGGATATTGCTGGCTGCTGTTCAGAAGCTCCTGTGGTAGTTCTGCAGCCTGCCTGTTGATCTATTTTCACACTTTTGTCTCAATTCTCTTCCTAACCTCAGTCAGCCAAAGAGCATGAAGTTTCTTCCTTGGCCTTATAATAGAAATTTAGGGCCTAGTTGATGTGTATTCCTCCAATCCTTGAGTCAGCCAACAAGTATGCCAGCATAATTTGTGCTGCTCTGACAGCTAAGCTCTATTTTGCTTCAGTTACAAGAACAGCAAGAGAAATTTTCCTCACAAATGTAATATGAGACATTTTAAGGACAATGGTTGATGGATTGCTCTCCTTAAGGTGTGTTGGCAGAGGTGAGAGGGGCAGGCAAAGCAAGTTGCCCAGCTGAATTTATTCATGGCACAGGAATAAATTGCCAGGACTGCCTCAGGGAAAGGCTGCTGGTGCTTTACAGCAGCAATTAATCACTTATGCATTTTTTTTTCATCACGGGGTCTTTTCCTCTTCTGAAAAAGTAGCAAAGCCATGTCCAAAAACAGCCTCACTGACAGTTGGGCAGGGCGAAGTGAGGGAGGGATCTCCATTGGATTGGGGAAGCTTCCCTCCAGAGACCACTAGTTGTTTTCCTAAACATTGGTTTAAAAAAGAAGTCTAGCAAAACTATTTCTGTATACATAAGAAAGCTATGTTTAGCACTTGGCAAAGGTTAGTAAAATCTTACTCAAGCAAAAGCCTCTGCTGCATCTAAGAGTCTGGTCTCCCCTGCAGTCCAAGCCAAAAAAAACCCCACCGCAGGGCGTTGTCCAGAAGTAGGAAGGGGCTCGCCTGCAACGACATCCAGAGTTGGACTGTTCTCAGCCCCTGGATGCCCCATCACCAACCTGTCAGCATATTAGTCACAGAACAAGATGTGTGTCAAGAGTAGATGGAAATCACTGCTTTAAAAGTGGAGCAGTTAAAAATGAACTTGGGCTGCGCCCACAGTTAGACCTAGGGATGAGAGAAAGATGACATAATGAGGACATGAGCTTAATAAAAGTTAGAGAGGCATATGGTACCGTGCCATAGTTAGTGAATACAGGTAGGTTCTCGAGCAAAACTTTTTGTGGCTAAGTGAGATTGTTGGTCAGTGAATTTTGCCATATTTTATGACCTTTCTTGCCTCAGCTGTTAAGTGAATCATTGCAGTTGTTCAGTCAGTAATGCAGTTATTAATTGAAACTGTCTCCCCCATTGATTTTGCTGGTCAGAAGGTGGCAAAAGAGGATTGTGTGACCCCAGGGACACTGCAACCGTCCTAAATATGAGTTGGTTGCCAAGCATCTGACTTTTGATGACATGATCATTGGGGGGTGCCGCAACGATCATAAGTGTGAAAAATGGTCATAAGTCGTTTTTTTCAGTGCTTTTGGAACTTTGAATGATCATTAAATGAACTGTTGTTAAATTGAGGAGTACCTGTGTGAGCATTAGCATTTAATTTTTTTTTCTAAAGAGCTTCCTATGCTATTTTTATTTTTATTTACTTATTCGTATCCTGCCTTTATTATGTTTACCAGTAACTCAAGGTGGTAAACATAGCTGATACACATTCCTCCTCCTCCTATTTTCCCTTCAACGACAACCCTGTGAAGTGAGTTGGGCTGAGAGAGCGACTGGACCAAAGTCACCCTGCTGGATTTCATGGCTAACAGTCTCTGGCTTTCTTGCCTGGTGCCTTAATCACTAAACCACTTAACTCTCCCTCCAAAATTTAGCTTCTTGTTCATGGAGCTTACTGTTCTGTTCCAGCCTACGTCCGTCCTTGTTGCGTCACAAGAACAACCCCTCTTTAACAGTAGGCTGGAAAAACCAACCTCTTTTTATTTCAAAAACAGTCCTGATAAGTTTTTCTCCAAAACAAAAACACAAAAGACTTTCCCAACAGATAATTGGTTACAAAAGCAAACAGAGCAGGAGTTAAACAAGAAATTCACTGATAAAACAAAACAGACCATGATCCCTGGACGTTCTTTACAAACAGTTGCCTTCAGCAACCAGCACCGCCCACACCTTCCCCTTTTATAAAGCAGTCCCAAGGCGTGGCTTCTCAATGCCTTCTCCTCCTCCCCTGGAGTTGTCGTATTGACTGCTGCTGACCTGCTCTAGATAATTGCCTGCGTCTATGAGCATCAATCATGTCTATCAGCTGTGAACCCTCCAAGTCTGACTCATCCTCCCCACACAGCTGAGTTTCATCCAGAACACGATTGGAGGGGCCAGGCTCTTCATCAGATTGTGAGTCTTGTAATTTATCAGAGCCTCCCTCTGACTCTGATGGCTCTCCAAATGCCTCCTCCACCTCCTCCTCAGATTCCTCGGACTCAGCTGTTGGGAACACAGGCTGGCACGGAATCATGACACTTCCGATATCTTAGTGTTTTAAAACATTTTCCTGCTTCGATCCTTTCCCAAGCCCAAATATACAATCTGATTTCTTCTGCAGAGTAAATTATTCCAGGATTTGGAAAGCAACTGAATCGAGCACCATATGACTGAAAGATTTCTTGGGATCTCAGTGCCCTTGCTTACATATCAATCTTTTCCCCATATGCCTCTTGAAGGGAATTTATTTGCAAAGCACTAAATATACCAAAGTGTGTAAGCATATGTGGGAAATGGAAGTTGGGTGGTTTTGTTTTGAATGAAGGATGAGGGACACAACCATTGAACAATGTTGATGTAGCAAGGGCGAACAGGATCGCTATATTGGCTGTCTTTCATTCTCCAAGCCCTAAGCTTGAACATTTACAGAGATGCCTAGTAGTATTTGCAAATGGTAGAGATCTGAAGATGTCTTGGGGAAACAAATGACTTCAGATTAAGCTGGAACATTTGTGAATGTTTGCAAAATAGAAAGACTAGCCATCTGGAAGCATCAGATGATTTTCATGCCATGTTGAGTGGTTCCTCAACCTGAGCAGTAGAACTCTCTCAATCATCCTCTGTGACTTAAACAGCACTATTATCATCAGATGCATTCAGATGGAATTTCCTATCAGGTTTCAGATCTGAAAAAAGATGTCAACAGTACTTCATTCTTTTCCTAAAAGTGTCAGCAGCATGAATATTTTTCTTTCAGGTGAAAGCTTGCCTTGTCATCTACATTATCTGCATAGTGGTAGTGGCTGTGGTCAACATTTTCTATTTGATCGATTTATTCTACAATCCCCGTGTCCAGTACATTCGATGCGATCCTCGGGATGATTTTTGTCAACTGCGGCATCAGATTGCAGTGAGTTGTCCTTGGGTCCAAATTTCTGTTTTCTTTGTGAAGATTATCGGAACATCCAGTGCTAATACAACTGGAAGACGTTGGTTTGAGTACTGGGGAGATTGTTTTCACTGGTAGAATATCGAATGCTCTCACTGAGTTAATTCAGACTGGCACCTGCACCAATTCTACAAGAAACTCCATTTTCTGTGAAAAGGACATACTATGGATTTTATTTATTTATTTTTCTGGTGGCACATTTCTGATTAGAACCAGCCCAAGCTTAGTGGACTCTGGCTACCCTGAAGGCACTCTTCAGGCTTTCTGTAGTATCCATGTTATGATTTTGTCACTAAAGCTATTTTGTACCTTATTCACATCACAGACTGCATTTCCAAAAGCAGTCAAAGCCTGAACTAAGATGTGATTGAATTAAAGATAAGGTTAAATACACTACAAATAGTTAATAGGATTACTGCCCATGTATTGGAGGCAGTCTGAGAGGGCCAACCTAGAGGTCACAGGCATTGCAAGACTGTTCCAGTCCTAAATACAGTACTCCTGAGATTTCCAACAGAGATTGTTACATTTGAATTACATTTCTCAATCTTTGAGAAGTTTTGTTTTGTGGAAAGATGGAATAAATGCTGAACTGTTTAATCATAATGTCAAGCGCCAGAGAAATCAGAAGATCCAGTTAGTTCAAATGGGTATAAAGATTTATTGGAAGCCTAAGCTCTTTACAAGAATCTGAACTAACGGTCAAAGCAATTTGGCGGGAGATAAGGAATTCAAGATGGGCTGAACTTGAGTGTCTTATTTGACCCCCTCCCTCGGGCTCAGGTTGGTCATCTCCTATACATATATTGTGCATTTAACTTCATACACAGAAGCTAAACGAGTTTCAACTGGATGGGGTCACCCAGTAATTGCTACTACCTCATTACTCATGGTTCTTGTGATTTTTGTTACCATTGTAAAATCTGTGTGAGTGCTTCAAGAATTGGTCCTCAGCTCTATCTCTTAGCACCCTGCGGTTGGGCCAGAATGCCTTAAGAATGCCTTAAAATCAATAAGACTTTAGTACTGCTTATTAAATCTCCTTCAGAAACATTTGGGGGACAAGACTGACTATTCTTGAGTCTCTCTAAAGGGGAGAGCAACAAACAATACAGCCTCTTGTCCTTGATTTCCTGTTCTGTTTTTTAGGCCTGTTGCATAGCCATGCGTGGCATTGTCCTAGTTTTAACTTCCTTGGGATTCTTTGTTTGCATTTCCATGGCAGCCTTTGGATGCAAAGCAGTGTGTCGCCAAAACACAGCCTCGGATTAGAAGGTAATTTGTTTTCATATGTTTTGATGGGGAGAGGAGGGTTAAAGACAAGAGGATTAGTAAGGTCAAAGAGTGGTGAAAGGGAGATGGGAGAGGGGTAGAGAGAGAGGACAAGAAGGACAGGTTACGGATAGGTCACTAATACCCCGTTCTCTACCCCTAGCACAGGGTTGGACAATTATGGCAACTTTATGATCTGTGGACTTGCGTGGCTGGCTCAGGAATTCTGGGAGTTGAAGTCCACAGGTTGTAAAGTTGCCATATGTCCACTTTCCAGCTCTAGTAAGTACCAAGACAGGTCTCAGTTTCATACAGTTGAGATGAAAATCCAGTGGGAGAGCAAGCATCAATCAGCTGTGCTGTGAACCAACTCCCTGTATGAATTTCAAGGTAAAATAATAATGGAACAAAAATGAAGAAAACAAAAATATTTCTAGAGATGTTGCTAAATCATCAGAATGTAAACTGGAAGTTTGAGTTGGTGTTTTAAGCTAAAAAAAATGTTGCCCAGCCCTGCCTTAACTTTTCAAGTTAAACCCAATAAATTGTGATGCTTAAGCAAACCATGACTTTGCATGATTTGTATTTTTGTTTCCTTCACAGGCCATTGTTGTTTCAAAGCATTTTCCTAGTTCTACTAAGGTCAGCCGAATATCTGAAGGGATTTACTGTCAAAACTTCAAGGTCCACAGCAGGGTTTCCCAAACTGTGAGGTGAGCCTCTCTTGGAGAGATGCAGATGGAGTTCCAGGGAAGGTGCGAAGAACCTTTAAGTTGAACATTGTTGCAATAAATTCACCTTCCCCAAATTTTCATTGTATTGTTTTTATTGCTTATTTGTGTTCAGCTTGATGCTTGAATTTTGTACATTTTTAAAATTTGTGTACATTAATAAACGGAAGCATGATGACAAAGGTTTAGGAATCTCCGATCTAGACGAAATCTGAAGGAATTGTCCACAGCTGCCCACATAATAATGATGATGATGATGATGATGATGATGATGATGATGATGATAATAATAATAATAATAATAATAATAATAATAATAATAATAATAATAATAAAGTTGGAAGGGACCTTGGAGGTCATCTAATCCAACCCCCTGCTCAGGCAGGAAACCCTATACCATTTCGGACAAATGGCTGTCCAGTCTCTTCTTAAAAACTTCCAGTGTTGGAGCATTCACCGCTTCTGGAGGCAGGTTGTTCCATTGGTTAATTGTTCTAACTGTCAGGAAGTTTCTCCTTAATTCTAGGTTGCTTCTCTCCTTGATCAGTTTCCACCCGTTGCTTCTTGTCCTGCCTTCAGGCGCTTTGGAGAATTCTCAACTAGTGTTCTTGCTAAGTTTGAATCAGTCCACTTCTCTGAACTTTGACCATGTTTCCAAAGCTCATTTGCCTTTCTAGAGGCAAATTCAGTAAACTGAACTGAAGGCAATTCAATATGTAAACAGCAAAGTTCCTGCTGAGTTTACATTCCACCTCTTATATTTATTTACCTCTCCTCCTCATTCTTTCTGTTTCAGATTCTGCAAGGGGAATTCTTCCTTAATAGCCTTGGAACTCCTCAATAGTTCAGAAATATGAATGGGCATGAAATTAAGAAGTAGCTTGCCAATTTCTTCTCCAGCCATGGACAAGGGGAAAGCAGTAGGCTAGCAGTGTGAGGGCTCTTTTTGGGGTGAAGAGATTTCTGTTGCTGCAGGAATTTTTGGCAAGCGTAACCCTCGCTCTTTGTTTTCACCATTTCATGACAGAGAAGTGAAGAAAACCACCGAGCACCTGCAAAGTACTTTTGAAGTTTTCCCAGAGTCTTCCCTTATCTCTAGCTTGGGGCCCATCCCAATGTCTCAAAGTTAACTTGAAAATGATCTGTGATCATTTTCAAACCTGCTTGTTTTAGAATTCTGAGAATTGGGAGCGAAGGCATAACCCTCCCCAATCTCCTCTAATGTCGTAAGTTGGAAACGTGTCGAATTATTTTTCCTCTTCTTACAACAGCCTTCATTCACGTTCTGTAGAACTACAGTATTAGAAACTACACAGGAATCATTTTAGGGCACTCCCACAAGCAGGATTTATACCACTTTGCAATTTGTATCAGGATTATCTCTGAACGTCTTTAATCCCATGACAGCTTCTCTGCTTAGTAGTTGAGCCTACTGACGTCTGGCTTTAGTGAACTTAAAACCAGAGGGAAGATGAGATGCTATTGTGGTTTAATGCTGCAGTTCTGTAGGGCTTGAGCATCATCAGTTTCCCCATCTCGTGACTTCCTCGCCCTGCCTTCTGCTCTTGCATGGCATCTTCATCTGTGGATCTGGTCTTTCAAAAGGAAAGGTGGCTTGATGGGTTTTCAATTTCCTGCTCAGAGGGATTGTTGGGATTTTTTTTCTCTTTTTGCAGCCATCAAACCCACGAATGTAAAGTTAAATGGGTATATAGATGAGGAAAGGACCTTTATAAGGCAGCCTTATGAATCTAAATTTATTTCCCTTGAACATATTGTTGCTTCAGGACTCAGGGCAGCTGGAATATGATAGCGATTTTCATTCCTTGTTCTCAGAATATCTGTGTCAGCATCTATGAAGCCAATGGCGGGTCATCTTCCAGACTGTTCTTACGGGAATGGAGAATGAAAAAAAAAATAGTAATGTCTGCCAATATCTTTGCTTTATTTTCAAATGTATTGCAGCTGAGCTGAAAATATTAAAACTGAGTTCTTGAGTGCAGCCGGTTTGATAAGATCACAATTCTGCTTTTCAAATGGAGCAGAGTCCTCATGAGAAAGTGGCCATAAGGTCATTTGTTCCATATCCTGTCCTTGGGGATAGTAGAGAACAAGTCACGTCCTTCTTCTATATATCTCTCCCCGCTTCTTGGAACTTAAGAGCTTGATATATTCCCCTATACTCCGATTTATTTATTTATTTTTGCTCAACATAACTAGTTCTTTCAACCTCTTTGGAAAACTTAGTTCCCAACTCCTTGATCAAACTTCCTCTGAACCTTGCCAAATGTGTCTGAGTCCTTCTTAGGCCTAAAACCACATGTTAAATCTACTCCTGCCCTTCCTCTAAGTGGTAATTTATGCTCAAAACAGGACTGGTAGGATCAGTTGCTTGGATTGGGTGTTTCCAGATTGCAAGCTGAAGATGCTGGCCTCAGTTTTTAGACCTTACAAGGAAAAGGAAGAATTTCATTCTCACTGCTATTCCCTTTCGCCTTGCTTGCTTGAGAGGCTACAGAAGATAACTCACAATCGGGCTAAAAAAGAGAAAAGCAACAACAGCATGCTCCAAAATTGATTTTTGAGCGGTGTAAGCCTTATGCAAAAGCATAACCTCTCTGCTGTTTATTAAAGTTGCCAGATTCTTTTTCAGGCTTCCATATAAATCTGGAAAAATAAATGCTTCTGCTTTAAGAATTAATTTTAAAAAAGCAGATTCTCTGAATAAGATTTGAACAACCCCAGGGAGATTTACGGCATCTTAAATATAAACAACTGTAATTGCCGCAAAGACCTTGCTCATGTCATCATGCCTCTGGCCACCTGGGTTTTTCAGGCAGCTGCTGTGGCTTGATTTTGTGCCATTTCTTGTTTGAGGAAAGCACAGCACACAATGCTCACCAAAAGAAATTTATCAGCTCACTATTTTGAACCATGTTTTTAAATCATGCCATTAGGGCTTGAAAGAAAAAAACACACTGAAACTCAACTCTTCGTCTATTTCTTTTCGGAATAGCAACTTTTTATCCCCTCTTTTCTTGGGGATTTGTTTCAAACATGCTATGATTGAGCAAGGCATTAACCCATGTTTTTCTGAATAAATATGGCTGCCTGGGCTAGCAAGGCAGCACCTTGAAGCATCAAGTAAATACACTGAGCCATAAACTAACCAACTATATTTTAGCTTAGTGTTTATATGATCCCAGCCACATCATAAACAGGGATGAGGTGATTAGTACTTTCAAACCAGACATAAGAATAAAACAGACAAAGAACCAAACCGAGTCTATTAAAACACACGAAGGACAAAATAGTAGAGTGGTACCATATATGTTACCCAAGCAGTCTCCACAGTATAGGAAAGTTTTAAATCTACAGAAATAAACCCCAATTTTTGGCAGAGATGGCAAAATTGACTGTTTTGATTAAAGAAAAGAATACAAGTACCTTCGTTTCTACATGGAGACCGCTTCTGGACTATGTGATTGAGGTGGAAAAAATGAAATTTTGAGTTTGAGTTTCACCGATTAAATTGATTTGTTGTTACAGAAATGGCTAGTTTTCACTATTGTGAAAAGTAAACAGTCGAGGCTCGATGTTAATGCTCCATTCTACTGCAACAGGGGAAGTTGGAAGTCAAATCTTTTTTTCCCCTCCATTTCCTTCACTTTCTTCACCCTTTTTCCTCCCCATTATGTCCTATTTGCTTTGTATTTTGTATTTTACTTTACACTTAATAAAATATTTAAGAAAGAGAGAGAGAGAGAGAGAGAGAGAGAGAAAGAAAGAAAAAGAAAGAAAGAAAGAAAGAAAGAAAGAAAGAAAGAAAGAAAGAAACCTCATCAAACTAGAACTTAATTTAAAAAAGTATATAGACTGGCACTATTATACAGATCTCCCCACTACTCCAGCTTTCTTCATACCTGTGCAACATTACTAATATACTACCTACCTACATTACCATTATCTATCAACCAATATTAAATTTGTGTTTTGTACATGTAGTATTTACATAATAGCAGATTCATCCAACTGTCATCTCATATATGGAGGTCAAGTCTCCTAATGGTTGCAATACCGCAAGAGATAGGCAAACAACGTAACGTATACACCAGCAATGGGCAAACTACGGCCCGGCGGCCGTTTCAAGCTGGCCCGCGGAGCACTAGATAATTTATTCATTTATTCACCTCATGCTGTGTCTAGTGAGGTGAATAAATGAATAAATTATCTAGTGCTCCCGGTGGCTGGCTAGGCCTAAACGGAAGCCAGGCCTCCCTTCTCCAAAACTAGTGTCCAAAGCAGCCTCGCCCTGTCCTTAGTTAGAAAAAAGAGCCGCTGCCACCAGCCCAGCCTCTGCGAAGCACAGCGAAGGAAAAGAATGAGCCTGTTTCCTCCTTCACCCCCTTCCTCCCTTGCTGCTAATCTCTT